CTAGGGTCTAGGCCCGAAACGTCAGCCTCTCTGCTCCTATGATGCTGCTTGGCCTGCTGTGTTCATCCAGCCCTGCACCTTGTTGTCTCGGATTCTCCAGCATCTGCAGTTCCTACTATCTCTGATTCAATTATTTTACCCAACTGTGTCTAAATATACGTATATTACTTCATGTTAATGCAAAGGATAAGATACATAAAATGACCAACTATATTAGGAAGTTATGAACAGGTACGATCAATACATAAAATTCAGCGAAAGCTATGGGCACAATAGACTGAAAAATATCATTTCGTACCCTTTATTTGCTGGGATTTAATATTCTTCTTTCGACTTGTTATTGCAATTTTAATTCCCTTATCATCCACTCCCCATGGCAAGGAAGGAGGGAATGTCATTGAAAAATAAACAATAAGAAAAAGATCCAACGATTTATTGAGAGTCCTAAAAGTACCAAATAACTCAGCTGACATTCCAGTGAAGTGCTGAGCTGCTGGTGGTGCCTTTTTTACAATCCATTCATAGGATGTGGGCGTCGCTGGCCAGGCCAGGCCAGGATTTATTCCCACAGGGTGGTTAAGAATCAACCACATTGTTGTGTGTTTGGAGTTGCACATAGGCTAGGCCAGGTAAGGGTGGCATATTTCCCTCCCTAAGTGACATTAGTGAATGAGGTGGGCTTTTACGACATTTGACAGTAGTTACACGGTCAACACGAGGCTAGCTCCTTATCCCATTTTTTTTTTAAAAATGGAGTTCAAATTTTATCATTTGCCATTGTGAGTTTTGAACCTATATCACTGGAAAATTCTGGGTTTATGGTTTACTAGGCTGGTGATATTACCACTATGCCACTGCCTACTCTTTTGAAAGTGACATTTTGAATGCTGACACTTTCAAATTCCTGTTGTTTGGATCGACGTCTTTACTTCTCTGCTTTTGAAAAATGTGGACTGAAATGAGAAAGAACAGTTTTAAAACCAGTACCTGAAAGGTTGGTAGCAAGTTTTAAGAAGCAAATAATCTGACTACCATGACAAGCATCACAAATAGATGTCTGAACACAAGGTAATTATACACAGTCAGCTGTACAGCACGGAAACAGATCCTTCAGTCCAACTCCTAAATTAATCTAGTCCTATTTGCCAGCATTTGGCCCACTGCCCTCTAAACCCTTCCTATTCATGTACCTATCCAGATGCCTTTTAAATGTTGTCATTGTACCAGCCTCCACCACTTCCTCTGACAGCTCATTCCATACACGCAACGCCCTGTGTGAAAACACTGCCCCTTTTAATTCTTTCCCCTCTCACCTTAAATCTAGTTTTGGACTCCCCTACCCTGGGGAAAAAATCTTGACTATTCACCATATCCATACCCCTCATGATTTTATAAACGTCTTTAACGTTACCCTTCTAAGCTTCTGACTGAAGTGGTCGCAGATGATTGGAGCTGAGGAGTTGTGTACTGATGCTCTGGGTAGCAACAAGTAGTTGACTGGCTGATGGACTAGTGATCAGTTATCAGTTACAAAGGCCTTTGCCTGCCAACATCATCTGATTTGCTGACAGGTAACTGAACAGCTCAGGGCTGGGAACGAGTTACAGAGAAAGGATTTGACCATCACCTACTCAAAAGCAGTCATTCTATCCTCTGCAGTCAAAACCCATTTTAAAACCTTAAGAAAGCTAGTCATCTTTCCTTTAGCAGTTATTGAAAGCTGTGATTATTAACTGGTTAAGTCAAAGATTTTTTTATAAGTGAACAAGCCACCTTATGTCTCTTGTAAACCAGTGGAGGCTTCTGAAGACAAGCTTGTGAAAAGCAACATTCTTACCATCACAAGAATCATTTCAACAACACAAACAAAAATAGAGTGTGATTGTGTGTAGGAGAAGGTTTATATGGGGATTAGTATTTTAATTTGTTATATGCCAATGGTTTATAACTATTTACCTTTAACTGAGTTTAATTACTTAAGCACAGAAGTCTGATGCAATCTGGGTGCAAAAATCAGAAATTGGGGAATATTGCATACTTATTTTAAAATTATAGAATCACAGAAGAAGCCCTTCTGCCCATCAAGTTTGTATTGCCATAGCTACAGTAAATCTACACTAGTCCCATGTTTTAAATCACTTGCGGGATGCAGACATAACTAGCTGGCCAGCATTTAATGCCTGTCCCGAGCTGTCCCTGAAAACATGTTGGTGAGCTACTTTCTTGAACCACTGCAGTCCGCATGTAGTATGACCCACAACTCCCTTGGGGAGGGAGTTCCAGGATTTTGACTCAGCAGTGAAGGAATGACAATATATTTCCATGTCAGGATGGTGACTGGCTTGGAGGGAAACTTGCAGGTGATGGTATTCCATGTATCTGCTGCCATTGTCCTTCTAGATGGAAGTGATCATGGGTTTGGAAGGTGCTATCTCAGGATTTTTGGTGAATTTCTGCAGTGCATCTTGTAGATAGTACACACTGCAGCTACTGAGTGTCGGTGGTGGAGGGGACAAATGTTTGTGGATGTGGTGCCAATCAAGTGGGCAGCTTTGTCCTGGATGGTGTCAAGCTTCGAGTGTTGTTGCAGCTGCACCCATCCAAGCAAGAAGGGAGTGTTTTATCACAGCACTGACTTGTACCTTGTACGTGGTGGACAGACTCTGGCAGTTAGACAGTGAATTACTTGCTGCAGTATTCTTAGCCTCCAACCTGTTCTTGTAGCCGTTCTGTTTATGTGGAGAATCCAGATAAGTTTTTGGTCAATGGTAATCCTGAGGATGTTGATAGTGGGGGATTCACTGAATGTGTCAATTTTGAAACTTGGCCCCCCCACCCCCGATGTTAGTAAGGATGACTTTGCTGGGTTGACGGGGCTGCTTCTGTCATCTTTACTGGTGGTCTCTCTGGTTTCATTTCTTTGTTGAAACTTCGTTGATTGATATAACTGAGTGGCTCGCTACACATTTCAGAGGGCAGTTGAGAGTCAACCACACTGCTGTATGTCTGGAGTCACATGTAGGACAGACCAGGCATGGACAGTATAATATCCTTCATGGAAGGATATCAGTGAGTCAGATGGGTTTTCCTGACAAATCGACAAATGGTTTCATGGTGATCAGTAGGTTCTTAAATCCAGAATTTTCTTTTATTGCCATGGTAGGATTTGAGCCCAGGTCCCCAGAACATTAACTGAGTTTCTGCATTAATATTCTAGCGATAATACCACGAGGCCATTACCTCCCCTTTCCAGCACTAGGTCCATAGCATTGAACATTACAATGTTAAGTATTCCCACCTCATATAACATCCCAGGCAGGGTATTCCCAGATTCCCACCATCCTCTGGGTGAAAAAGCTTTTCTTCTCAAATCCTCTCTAAAATTCCTGCATTTCTGACAAATCCAGGAGTAGTGGCCAGTGTGCTACCCCAGAGAATCATAACAACATAATGGACCCTAAATTGTATTCTGAAGAGTAGGGACATACTTACCAGTGACCTGAACAATAATTAGTCCCCAACTAGAACATAAAAAACAGATATGGTCAATACAACATCGTTGATTTGAGGAACTGGCTAGGTGCTAGCTAATTAACAGATTTCCTAGCAGTTTGGTTTTGGGTCATGAAAAGCTTACATAAATGCAAAGTTTTCTTTTCCTTTACATGCTGGAAAACCTGAAAGCAAAATGAGAAAAAGCATGAAATATTCAGCAGGTTAGGCATCATCTGTGCAAAAATCTCAATTGCTGGCAGGACCTAAGCTGCCACCACCGTCTGCCAGGAATCTCATTCCAGGATAATTGTATCAATGCATTTCAGAAATTCTTCAGAAATTGCTCAGTAAGTGACATGTACACACCTTTAATGACTTGCTCTGGCTGTGTGCAAAGAGGAATTAAGGGTGCGCTGCAATCATTGTCATAATCACCGGATGCTCTAAAATTCTGAATACCCTTCGTGGACTGCAAAACAAATTATGAAAACTTTAAGTTATGTCCATGCACAGTGCACTTATTTTCCTCATCTATGCATACATTATAAAACTGCAAATAGACCAACTTGCTGACAAAGTTGCAGTTTCAGGGGATAATGACTTCTTTTATTTCATAATTTTCTGAGTACATTAATCTCTCTCTCTCTACACTAATGTAACAGAGAGAAGGTTTAAAGGAGATTTAATGGAGATGATCAAAATCATGGTCTGATATGATGGTAAGATGGTAACCAGGTTTAAGGTAATTGGTAAAAGAACAAGACAATAGTCAGACAAAATGACATGGAATGCACTGTCTGATGGGGTGGTAAAAGGTCATTCAATAGTAAGCTTTAAGGAGAGAACTGGATACACACCCGAATACAAAAATTTTGCGGGACAATGCAGGTGAGAAATGGGGAATGGGACTGTGGTTAGCAGAAGCAAATGGGCAGAATGGCCTGTTTCAACATTCTATATCGTATCATTATAATAAACTGCAGTTGAGAGAGGGGTTTGTGAACGTGATCTATGATGCTTGCTTACAACGTCCTTTAATAATCCTCTTTTTCAAGGATGTTATAGAAGCAGTAACAGATTTATATTAAAGCCCCAAACTTGAATATTCAATACACAAAACATTAAGCTCATACATTTCACTGTTTCATAACAAAAAATCATCAACAGAAAAGTTGTTGGTTCGATTCAAGGCCTGGACTGTTGAGCAGTGTTTTCTGCTGACCTTATTTGAGAGTTAAAGCCATGAGCTGGATTGTGCTAACCTAGCCCCTTGGCTGAAGGATCATGGTTACTAGGGCAGGGAACACAAAGATGAGAATGTCCAGATCTCCAAGGACCATACAAAATTAATTCCAATAGGTTGATCTCATTGAATAAACTTCTTTGATGATAAACTGCCTTTGCTGCCTATTCTGTGCTCTCTTACAGGGTCACGAGGCTACAACAGCAATGCGTTTGTTTTAAACGGTACATGAAACTTCCATAAATCTTGATTGGGAATGCTGATGCTACAACTCCCAAGCTGCAAATTTTAATCATTTCACTGGAAAAGAAAATAGTAATTGCGCTCCCATTTCTTCTACGGAAACATAAAATGGAGACACACTGGCCTCAAAATATTAACCATTTCTTGCTTAATGGATGTTGCCAGACTGCTGAGTTTCTACAGCATGGTATTTGTTTCAGATTTTCAGCATCTGCAGCATTTTGCCTTTACTGCATACATAGCACGTTGGGGTATATGCAAAGGTTTTAGGAAAGGCCTTCTCCTCTCCCCACCTCTCCCCTTCGTTTTAGAGCAGTCAGTTTTGCAGGACAATTTAAAGCTAACCGATGAAAAGCTTCCAAATTGGGTGGCGAGGCAAGCAGAGTAAAGCCAGCCTATTTTCCCACCATGGCAAACTGCAGCCCCCTCCAAAAACCAGCATTTGAAAAAAAAAAAGACCTGAAGATGAGTTTCTTGTTTAAACTAATAATTTTAAGTTTTGTATTTTACCAAAGCCAGCAAACTAATTAGTTTACAGACTAAATCATAAACGTATCAATGGGTAAGGATTGGAACTTAGTGGAAAGGGACTATTTCAGGGCGCAATTATACAAAAAATAATTCTTTCAAGTTGTGGGCTGGGAAAGTGGGAAACAGAAGGATGGATACCAAAAAAAAGTGTTCAAGTTTAAGAGGCTTGATGTGTGCATCAATATGGTAGACCTACAAATGATCCTTAGAGCCTGCACACGAGCAGATATGACGCTGAGGTACAAAGCAACTGACAGGGGAGTAAAATCTATGTAATATCTCTGTTAAATAAGCATGATGTAGTCTGCAAGAGCACAAACATATTCACCCATTTATTCACTGACGATTTTGTGGTGGCTACCCAGATGGCTGGAGCTGGATCAGCTGATCGATCAATCTCCATCTGCAAAGTAATTTGAAATACGGCAAAATTAAAAGGAGGCACAAGTGTAATATCTCTTACTGACAGAATGAGCCTCAAAAAAGACTAAGGCAGTGCTATGTTGCAAAGATTTTCTTGATGTTACCAAAGGTTTACTAGATGCTCAGGTCTCTCGTAATCAGGATTTATATTTCAGTACATCAATTGCTGCACAAAAGTAAAGATTTCATTGAAAAGGATTTGGCCCGCTTCTGTGGAAAGGGATTAACAAAGATTTTAAAGATGACTTACTGAACAGTTGGTGGGGAAACCTAAAAATGATCATCTGTGCAACAACTGATAGAACCTCAGTGAAACTGACTGCACCTTCCACAACTGCATAAATGAACAGGAGCAAAAAAGATGGAGATGTGTCAAACTGATCCAAAAACCAATCACAAGCTGGAGGAGCAAAAACTTCTGCAACTGAGCCCTCATCTACTCTAAGCGCCATACAGACCAGAAATAGTTGGGTGACTGTGTTCTTCTAGAACAGACCACAGCATAAATGCAAAATTAAAGTTCTTGCTCTACACCTACACATAAAGAAACAAAAAAGGTAAATCTGCCAAGTTGTGTACTACTGCCACACAGAAATGGATCTATGCACAATTAAGAGCAGAATACCATGCAAGCACAAAGAGCATTGATGTGATGGGGGTCTGGTAGAACTAAATCAAATGAAGGTTGAAGTTATGAGTTTTACTCTTCTTAGATAAATAGAATCCTGTTGCATAAGTAGGTTGAGAGGTTGATGAAATCTTTCAAGGATTTGTGACAAAACGAGTTGTCACAACATTGAGCAACTGTGCAGAAAATAATTTGCAACTTCTACACCTTCCTTGACTTGCCTGATCACTCAAAAGATCAGACAGGAGCTTTTTGACAAGGAATCCTGAACTGGGTGTCGCTCTATTTCCCCTCTCCCAGAAATGTAGGATGTACAGCTGGTTTCTGAACAATCAAAATGGCCCAACCAGTCCAAGCCATTTTTATACTCCATTGAGCCACCATTTATGTTTCTTCATCTAAAGCTATTACTGTAATTTTCTCTTTCCTTTCTAATACATCAATACAATTTGCTTCAACACTTCCTGGATGACAGAAGTTTCCATGCTTATCACACTGCAAACAAAATGTGTCTTATTTTTAAAAGTTTTTTTTTTCCTGAATTTCCTATTCGACTTCTTGACTGTTTTATGTTGATGATATCTGATTCTTTTCACCATGTGGAAAGATTCTCTGTAATCCACTGCCAAATCTTTCATTACTTTAAAGATCTTTATTAGACATCCTCTCAGCCATTTTAAGTGAAAGAAAAAAGATCTAGTGATTATCCTTTTCTGATACGTTGTGCAAGATTGAACCAAAGTGCAATACAGGTTCAGAATAACCGTCTTAATTGCCAATTTTATCCTTCTAGAAACATAAGAACCTGGGAGCCAAAGTAAGCCATATAACTCCTTGGAACTGCTCAGTAAAATCGCGACTGATCTGATGGTAGCCTTAACTCCAATTCCTGCCTGCCCCCCATGATCAAACTCTGACTCAACTTTGAACATATTTCATGACCAGGCTCCACTACTCACTAGGAAAGATAATTCCACCCTCAGCTCCACCTTAAGCGAGAGACAGCTTATTTCTAAAATGTGCATCCACTAGTTCTAGAAACCCCATGAGGGGGAACATCCTCTCAGCATCTATCCTGTCAAATCTCACTCAAAATCTCTGATGTTACAATAAGATAGCCACTCGTTCTTCTTGAAATAAAATCTACAGCTTGGTTTTCTTTATGGTCTTGCTAACCTGTGATATGACTTTTGGTCATTAATGTGTACCTGTACCAAGATCCCTCTATTACTCAACCCCATTTAGATTTGTACCTTTAAGTATTTGGCAAATTAACTATTCTTCCTTCCTGCCATAATCCCAATTGTCTGAACTTAATTTCTCAATTAATAGCCCATTCTCTAATTTTATTAATGTCCTCCTGTAATGTCTTGTATAGGCAAATAAAAGTAAAAAAGTGTGATTAAAGAGCCAATTAGACACCAAAAGAGGGACTTCCACGTGGAGGCGGTGACATGGCTGAGATGTTAAATTAATGCAAAAAGAGAAGAATGCTGCCCAGGCCATGGTGACAGAGGAGGAAACTATCACTATAAGGGTTTAAAATTAAGGAAGAAAGAAGTCTTAGATAGATTGTTGATACTTAAAGTACATCCAATGTGCTTTAGTCTTGCATGCTAACTTCTTATGTGGGTCTTTCTGAAAAGCTTTCTGAAAATCCAAATCCACCAACTGATTCTCCCTTATGTATTCTACTGGTTAACATCCTCAAAAAATCTTGAGTAAGATTGTCAAATGTAATTTTTTTCTAAATCCTTATTAATTTTGTCTAATCCCATTGAAATTTTGTAAATGCCACTATTGTATCCTCTGCAATAAACTCTAGCATTTTATCTATGGTTTTAAAAAAATTCACAGATGACATGCGACTGTTACTGGCCTGACCAGCATTTATTGCCACACACAATTGTCCATAGGATGAATTCAAATTTCACCATCAGAACATTAGCCTGGACCTCTGGATTGCAGATCCAGTGATATTAACATTATATCACCACTTCTCCAACTGACATTAGGTTAATTTGCCCAGAATTCCATTTCCTTATTCTTTCCTGAAAACAAATAGTGGGAGCTCCATTTGCCATCCTCTGGTCTGCCAGGAATATTTCAGAATCCATGGAATTTTGGAAGACGACAACCAGACCATCCACGATTTCCCCAGCCGCCACCTTTAGGAGCTGGGGATGTAGATTATCAACTTTCAGGTCCATTAATTACTCCAGCATTACTTCTTTAAAAACTAATACTAATTTTCTCCTCCTAAACAGACTCTTGATTCCCAATCATTTCCCAATTATTTGTATTCTTCTGTGAAGAACAGAACTGAAATAGATATTTAATTGCTATGCCATTTCCTTCTCCTTCAACAATTCTCCCATTTCAGACTATAGGTGACCTACGTTTATCCTCACCAGTCTTTTCCTTATTACATACTTAAAAGCAGGCTGTAAAAGCTTTTATAGTAAACCTGAAAGGATCATCTCAGGCTCTATTCAGCCCCGAAACAATCACTTGGTTCTCCCATATGCTGATTTCTAAACTGCTCCCAGTACTGAGACTTGCTACTTGTTTTTTCTAGCAAATCTATATGGCTCTTCTTTGGATTGAATATTATCCTTACTTTTGTTAGCTATGGTTGGGTCACTTTTTCTGTTGTATTTTTTGTACCGGAATGGTATGTATAACTGTTATAATACATGTCTTCATTTCTTAAACATCAGCCATTGCCTATCTACTGTTATTTGCAGCCAGCAATGCCTCTTACCTTTGCAGTTTCATTTGCATAGATTTAGGACTCTAGCTTTGGGCTGGACTACTTCATTGTCTATTCTAAAAGAATTCTATCATACTGTGGTCAGTTGTCCCCAATGAACCTTCCATAAGAATATCAAGTAAACGCTTTCTCACTGCATAATACCAAATCTACAACAGCCTGTTCCCTAGTTGGCTCCTCAATGTAATGGCCTTTACAAAAAAAAAGGCTTCAGGAATTCATCCATTATTTATTGTTGCTAATGTGTTTTACCTGGTCAAATGTATATTAAAATCGCCAATGATTTGTGTAGCACACTGTACATGCCTCACCAATTTCCTGTTGAATGCAATTCCCTACCATCCTACTAATGTTTGGAGGCCAATACCCACAAATGTTCCCACCACTTGTTGCTTCTTGGCTCCACCCAGATTCGACATCTAGATTTTCAGAGACAATATCCTTCATCACTATTGCATTATTCCTTCAGTGACAAAACATTAAATACCTATTTTCCTCTTTCCCTGTCCTTGCTAAGTATTCAATATCTTTGGATTTAGTTCCAAGCCCTGGTCACCCCACAGCCATGTCTTTATAATTGCAATCATATTGTATCTGTTTTCAAAATTATTTCTGTTAATTCATCCATTTTAGAGTGAATGCTTGAAGTAATCAGATATAGTACTTTCAGATTTGTCTTAACATTTTATTTTTGTGTCTACGGCCCTATTTGCTGCCAGCCATCGTTTCCTCTACCTTCAATTTTTGTCTTTATTTTCAAACTTTGTTTTCTTTTTTGTGTTTCCCTACTCAGAGTCCCACTTCCCTGCCCTTCGAGTTTAAACCTTCCTCCACAGTTTTGGAACAAAGATGGACATTTACCCTATCATGAGCTCCTACCCTTCCCCGTTCACAATAACAAAAAACCCACTACTTCCACCTTTCTTCGATTTCAAAGAGTTATTGGACTCAAAACACTAACTGTGTTTCACTCTCCACAGATACTGCCAAACCTGCTGGCTGTTTCACAACTTTATTTTTATTAATTTTATCTTGCTTCCTATTTGTTAGTTCAGAAGGTTGAGTTTTATTTGTAAATAGGAAAGTACATTACTAGTGTTCTGATTACTATTTTCACTGCTTTACCTTTGATCTGTCTGCAGTCTATCTATTTTACTTGAGCACTGCAGTGTTGCCAAAAGTTCTGCCCAATTTTTACGGCTGTACCTTGAGAACTGGTGCTTTTTCCTCACAAATCAGAACTCGAATATCTGGGTTCCGGAGATCTGTGCAGTAGATTTTTCGGTCTCGCCCTCCTGAGTAGACATGTGTAAAGGCTTCATTGACTTGCAGTGCCCAAACTCCTTCATCGTGGACCCTATACGTTGCTATACACCTCTGCTGCCCCAAGGACCACAGCCGGATGGTCCCATCAGAGCTGCCAGATAAACACTAAGGGATAAAAATGGAAGAATGATGCTGTTAACGACACCAAAAGGTTAAATTGTAACTTTTTTATTTGTTCATGGGATGTGGGTGTTGCTGGCTTGTCAAGCATTTATTATCTATCCCTAATGGCAAATAGTTGGTGTGGTGGCTAAATCTTCACACAGAAACCATATGCAAGTTAATACAGCAAACTTCTTGTTAACCGACACGTATGGGACCAGAAGTATGCCAGTCAATCAAAAGGTTCACATACTTAATGCGTTTCTGTTAATCACTGTAAAAATATACAATGTGTATGGGGGTATACACATCACCGCTTTGATTTATTTATAGCATAAGTCACTTAAATAATAATACAACTTTGATTAAACCAGGGCGGAAATGACTATCATGAGGGGGCGTGATTTTAAGGTGATTGGAGGAAGGTATAGGGAAGATGTCAGAGGTAGGTTCTTTACACAGAGTGGTGGGCACATGGAATGCACTGCCAGCGGTGGTAGTAGAGTCAGATACATTAGGGATATTTAAGCGACTCTAGGATAGGCACATCGAGGATAGTAAAATGTAGGGTATGCAGGTTAGTTTGATCTTAGTAGGATAATAGGTCAGCACGACGTCGTCGGCCAAAGGGCCTGTACTGTGCTGTACTGATCTATGTTCTATGTTTTAAACAAAACTTACCAGTAGACAGCCTTCTCACTCAATTTCAATTCTCAAATTGTGGAGATCGCAACAATACAATAAACTTCAGATATTTCAGGTACATAACTTTTGCCGGTTTACTGAGTGCTAGTTTGTAAGGTGCTGGTTAAAACAAAATTTGCTGTACTCCATTTTTTCATAAACACAGTTTATCGTGTCAATTTTGTGAAGGTTTCTCCTACTCCTAAGCTATCAGTGAAGCATTTTGTCCTTGCTTGGCACCTTGCCACAACAATGAGGCAAAGATCAGAATGTAGCTCAGTAAAGGAGTATTCCTCTGTACAAAGGAATCCCCAACATTGGGCCTCTCTCAATTCTGTGACTGTGACAAAAAAAATGAAGTATCCTATTAACACTCCACTTCTGTTAGCTACTTTTATGACAGTCAACAGATTAGATTCATGCACGAGACATGCCAACATTTAGTTACAGTTCCTGAAGACAGGTGTCTACTGAAGGATCCAAGCCAGTCAGATCAAAAATAATGTATGTTCCAAATTGTTTAAATAAATTTTTCATTGTTATTCCTCTTGGTGTATTTAAATAAAAATTAACTTCAAGTCCCAGAGGTGATGTGTTTTCAAATTTCTCTTACATCAGGATCTCTGTCTAAATCTCAAGGAGAATTAATCAGGCAACACGATTTACATAGATAATAAAGAAAATACCCGAACCACAGGTAAGGTAATTGGAAACATCAGTTTGCAACTGTTACGCTAACCTACTTTTAATTAAATTACAAAATGTTATAATAAAAATCATTGTACAGCATGTTTTAGTCATTTGTTCCATTTTTACTCGAGTTGGGATAGTACTTAAAGCCCAAAATCAGTATTGTGCAACATTTTTCAGCTGCCATCTGAAGGCAAAAAAAGACCCTAAGATATCAGAGTAGCAAAGGGAAACAATCTGCAAACAGCTACAATAAACTTTTCCCCCCAGGAAGTAAAACTACCATGATAGGGAGAACAATGTACACATAACAGGGGTAGACTGTAAACAAAAGGAAAAATTCTAGAGTCAAATCACTTAATCAAAATCTAAACTGTAACTCAAGTTGGAAACTACGCCCGGTACCAGAAATATTTACTGGGCGGTAAATGGTTCTTCAATACTCCAACATCACAAAGTGAATAGGTACAAAATCCATTACCTTCAAAATCCTGACCATTCTTTCATATTACATAAAAGATTCAAAACTAACAACTCCATTATAATTTGATATTAAAGAAATAGAAAAAGCTACAGTAAGGCAACAGTGAGGAAAAGAGGGAAAGAAACAAGTTAAAGGGCAGCAGAGGATGGCAAAACCAACAGAAGGGGTAAAAAGCTTCAATTTACATAGCACCTTTAGCCAAGGTTGACACAAAGGATAATATAAAACGATCTTTATGAGAACACTAATAAGAAACATAGAATACCTGTGTGCCATCTCGGTTCAACAATAGAGCTTTCACGTTATCCGTATGACCTTTAAGTTTCATCAGTTTCGCACACGTTCTGGGATCCCATACTCTCAGAACCTGTTAATAACAATCAATACCTCAATACTACTTCAGGCCTGTTGGGACAAACAACATTGGCCCTTAAAACAAACAAGATTTGTCTTCCAACATTACTTGTCATTTCATAAATTTAATCAGCAATTCTAAGCAAATCAAATAGAACAAGAATATTATACCAGGTTCTTAAACACTATACAGTAGACAAAGCAAATTTAAAGAAACTGATATTGTTCTCTAGTCACGTCTTGCCTTTGGCACAAAATGCAAACTTTAGACATCTGCAAACTTTAAAGTGTGAAATTTAATGCTTTTTTTTAAAAACTTCAGTTACATTGAAACATTTAAAAAAGTTCATCGTAAGGCAAAGTTCAAGCACTATTTGACAGCTGAGGCAAGTTAAACATATTTGAAATAGGTCACAAAAATCGAAAAGGTCTTCTCTCCTACAGGAACCAGTCAAGCATGGTTTTCTTTATAAATCAACTTACTTTTTCAGTAGATCCTGAAACGATTACTGTTCCCATCTGGTTCATTGCAAGGCTATAAATGGAATCTTTGTTCCCACTCAGTGATGATGCTGTTGTTACAAAACCAAAAGATGCACTTAGCAATAAAATAGTTTTTCTGTGCAAAGTCCTCAGATTTTGATCAATACACTTGAAGATGTAATGGGTAGGGGAGACACAGGGAAAGCAAGGCAACTGTCTTCTTTTTCTGCTAACTGTCCTCAAAATTATGGTAATTTCCCATGAAAAGGACATAAACAGGATTTTTTATTTAATTCATTCACGAGTTGAGGGCTTCCCTGGCTAGGCCAGCATTTATTCCCATTGCTAATTGTCCAGAGGGCAGTTAAGAGTTAACCACATTGCTGTGGGTTTGAATCACACATAGGTCAGACAAGGTAAGGATGGCAGTTTCCTTCCCTAAAAGGACATTAGTGAACCAGATGGGATTATAAGAAATCCTGAAAATATTGGTTCTGACTCTGAGTAAGCTTCGACAAAATTAACTAAGTTCATGGATAACCTGTGGTAGTTGTCACTGCAAGAGGCAAGAGGTTTGCAAAAGTAGTTAAGACCAATAAACCATGTCTGCAGGGTATAGTAATCAATAGAGTTCAAAAAATTGCTCCAAACAATGATTTCTCTTGTCACCAGAGTTAGTGCTAAAAGTTGGACTTTTTGGCATTACTAATTCATAGAAAGTGTTCAAGAGATTGACACATTCTTTTATTGAATCTTTCATGTGACATGGTGTCATTGGCAATGGCAATATTTGCTGCCCATCCCTAATTGTCCTTGAACTGAGTAGCTTGTTATGCCATTTCAAAGGACAGGTTAGAGTCAACCACATTGCTGCAGGTCAGGAAATACCTGTAGACCAGAATAGGTAAGAATGGCAGATTTCCTTCCCTGAAAGTCCATCAGTGAATGAGACTTTCCAAAAAAAACAATGAGAGTGCTATGTTCAGCATCAGTGAGAGTAGTTTTATAATCCAGATATTAGTTATAGTGGCATTTGTTCCGTGTTCCTAAAACATTAACCTGTGAGCAATATTTACTAAAACAGTGCGATTATTACCACACCATCACCTTGTACAGAGAGCTCCCAGCCAGTGCACCACATAATGCCAATTGCTAAGGATGAATATATACTCAAATTAACCATTTAATTGTATTCATCTATAACAGAGATTAATCAACTTCCCCTAAAGTTGCTAGTCTTTTACCCTAGTGTCAAATAAACTCAAAATCACCCCGTGCAGCCCATGATTATGTTCAGAGGACGAAATCCGATCCAACTGAACTACAGTACTAAAATTCTGCAAGTCTGCCATTACATTTTACTGGAACAATGACAACATTTTTTTGTACAGTCAAACAGAATAAAAATGAACTAAAACTATGGAATTGTGATGAAAACACAGCTGATTCACTTGTGCGCTTCAAGACAGGCTGTGATGAGCTCTAGTCCATCCATATCTAGTCTGACCTGCATACCATTCTGTGCCTTCTGAAGATATCTAGTAAGACATACCCTCTTATTATTTTTGAGAACAATTACAGATAGTTAATAAATGCATTTTGCCGACATTGTCAACATCCGATCAATAAACTTAAAACACAAATAACTTGTTTATTTATAAACCTCCTCAGAATTTACTTCCATTGTGATAAAAGGACATCTTCTCAATTCTGAGACAACAAGGTGCAGGGCTGGATGAACACAGCAGGCCAAGCAGCATCATAGGAGCAGAAAGGCTGATGTTTCGGGCCTAGGCCCTTCATCAGAAAATCTTCTCAATTCTATTCACCATCAGTAACTTACTGGTGACAGTGTTGTTTGAGGCAGTCAGTGCTGTAAGAGTATTTACATCCCAGAGGAAAATCTGTCTGTCCAGCCCAGCTGAAGCCACCAACTCCTTGTCTTTCGCATAAGCCAATGCCTTAACATAATCCTACACAAAATAGAAAAAGGCTGTTAACTTTCACCGTTTTCTTACCTTACATTGTGGCATTATTTCGTTTTTGCACACACAAACACACTCAAAACTATAAAGTGAATATTCAGTACAGAGCATCATGATTGAGCGTGACATTGATCTCATTAAACAAGTACATTTTCTAATAGTTAGGAGATAGACATTAGGAATGGCAACAAGCAGACTTTTCACTTGAAGACTTGGCACCATTCAGTTCCACAACAGGGAAATAAAAAGTGGAAATTTCCTATTTCTGCCTTAAACCATTCCTAAAACAGATTTACTGCAAAATGCCTAAACAACTAAAATCAATTCCAATGGCATTTTCTTTCTAAACACTGCATTAGAAGTATTTAGATTTAATTCCATTAAATATGCCTGAGCCAACAGATTAAACAGACAGGATATTGGGTTTAAAATCTCATTCAGCAAACGTGTGTAACAATACAGTACTCCTATCAGTACAGCAGCATGTCAGTCTAGACTACAAACTCAAATCCTGCTCCTGCGCTGTTTGAACCCACAAGCATCTGATTTCTGAGACAAAACTGCTGTCGATTAAATAGATGAGATGCTTTTATTGGTGAGCATATTTCCTGTGATACATCACGGTGGCTCATTGGTTAGCACTGCTGCCTCACAGCGCCAGGGACAAGGGTTCAACTCCATCCTCGGGCAACTGTCTGTGTGAAGTTTGCACGTTTTCTCTGTGTCTGCGTGGGTTTCCTCCGGGTACTCTGGTTTCCTCCCACAGTCCAAAGATGTGCAGGTTAGGTGGATTGGCTATGTTAAATTACCCGTAGTGTTGAGGGATGTATAGATTAGGTGGGGGATGGGTCTGGGTGGACTTGTTGGGCTGAAGGGCCTGTTTCCACACTGTAGGGATTCTATTCTATGATTCTATCCCTTTTAGTATCACAAGTAACCAAAAAACGTGATTACTCACTCAGTGAATTAAGCTGTAATTTACTAAAAGCAAAGGATTTACATTTTCATTCTTCAAATTAACTGGTACTAAAATAGATAATTCTAGCTTTTAATATAAATTTATTCTGACATTCTCAAAACTGAGACATGTATAATTTGGAGCACAAGGAAGAACACAAGGTCCTTAGCAGTTGTCTTACCCAAAAGATCACCCTCACAAGAAGATTAATTCAGAACTGATCTCACTATGAAAAGGGGTTAATTTTTTTTTTAAAATAAAAAGCATTAAGATTTATTATCACAAATAAATGCACTTTTCAATGGGAAAGAAATACAAATTTTTCCCATTACAAAAAATTACCTTATGAGTTCGTAATGTAGACATGCAAAATCCTTTATGAGCATTCCACACTTTCACTGTAGTGTCAGATGAAGCCGATATTACTAGAAAATTTAAAATAAAATTGAATACTGACGACGTGTCCAAATAATTTTGGTTCAGAATCATCTCTAAAGTGGTTCTTAAAAAAACATACAATACAATTCTGCAAAACAAAAACACACTGGAATCAGTCAGTTCACCAGCAAATCATTGGGGTAACTGTATGATCTTGTTTCACTGTTAGGTTATTGCACACCCTCTCAGACCAGATAGCAAACCCAAGGGCTTTATATTAGTGAAGTAAGAAAGGGTGGGCAAATGGAGGAAACTGCAAATTCAAAAGTAGCAAGAGTGCATGTTCCATGCTGCAGATGTGATGTCCAGCAAATTCGCTGCTTTGTTCTGAACAGTATCAAGCTTCTTGAGTAAGGGGTGATCTAATTGAAAGGGATTTCTCAGGATAGATGCAGAGAAAATGTCGTTTCTCCTGGTCAGCTATTTAAGATTGGGAGGAGGATGATTCTTCTTCAAAGGGCTCTCAATACTTAGGATTCTATATCCAAAGAGGCTGTGATGCCCAGTATTTCAATATATTCAGGACAAAGGGTGATATTTTTTTGGTTATCAAGACAATTAAGGGATATTTTGATTCTGTGATAAAGTGGAGTTGAGGTGGAAGAAAGATCAACAAAAATCTTGTTGAATGGCACAGCAGGCTCCAAAAGTCAAATAGCTTATTCCAGCTCATACTTCTTACGTTTTTATGGAGATACATCTTGATACAGTGGTAAAAGGTAAATCCAAATTAAAGCAACTGATGGCAATCCTGAATCATGTTAAATTAAATATTACATGGAAAAAAAACGTTCCATGTCCACATACAAGGTCTGCACTATAGACTTGGGCTGACAAATGGCAACTAACACACTTGTCACTCGAGTTTCACGTAATGACCTTCTCAAAAAAAAACTAACTACCTCCCATAACACAACAACTTTACAACCACTGAACCCCCATTAGTAACATGGAGTCCTCTGGCAGAGGCATGGTGAGGGCTGAAAAGCCCCGAGTAGGACTGTGGCAGAGGAAAGGAAAGTTGGACTATTTTAAGTTTATTTTCTTATCTTATTCAAAGTTAATGTGAATGGTGCCATGTGTGTATGGCAAATATACACACTTCTCACTGTATTTTCACATTGAATACATGTGACAATAAATGATTCGATTCAATTCAGTAATTGAACTGGACAAGCCACATGGCTAGGACAACAGGCTACTGTGATGTAAGGTTGAAGTATGAGTAAACACAGTGTGGAGCTGGAGGAACACAGTAGGTCAGGCAGCATCAGAGGAGGAGAGTCGACACTTCAGGTCCCTTCATCAGGGTATTTACCACCAAAACAGCAATCATATTACAAAAGTAAACATTATGGTCTATCAAGCCAGATTTCACTCGGGAATCTGACTTCCCCAACATTATCACCAGGTGGTATCACAACCCTACAAGGCTGGTATTTTGAAAGCAGTTCAGCTCCTGACTCTAAGGTCACTCCACTGGCTAGGACTCGAGTCATTACAGCATAGAAAGAGGCCTTTCAGCTCATCACACCCACATAGGCTCTCTGAAAAGCAATCCAGTCAATCCCAAGGTTCTTCTAAAATCATTGATGGAAGCAGAGATAATCACTGTCTTAAGCAGCAGGTTCCAGGTCATTACCACTTGCCGTGTGAGAAAGTTCTTCCAGATATCCACCTTCACCACTTGCCCAACCCCCTAAATTTGTGTCCCCCTAGCCCTTTTACATCAGGTAACATGAACAGTTTTCTTTTGTCTACCTTGTCTAAGCCTGTGATAATATTGTAAATCTCCATCAGCTTCCACTCCAAGAGGCGCAACACCAGCTTTTCCAATGTAAAACTTGCAGCTACAATCCCTCAACTACTCTCTCCACTATCACCCTGCCTTCTACTATTAATCAAACACAGCGAAGCAACTTCTCAAACCTTTCCCAGAACCTCCTAAAAATACCACCTTTACCACTTGGAATGACAACAGCAGATGATGTATTGGAACCTCACCTACCGGATCCTCTCCAAGTCAAAGACCATTCCAATTGCAACATACACATTTCACTTTTATGGGTCACAATTCTGCAACTGTATATCTACCAGTGCAGTGGGAGCACATGGACTACAACATTTCAAAAGCTACCATCTGTTTTAGATAGAATAGACAAAATAGAAAAGGACAATAAACGTTAGCCTTGTAGAGCTCTTAAGAAAATAGAAGAAGCAAGCAAGCAAGACTTAGTTACTTAGTAACTTAGTTTAAAAAAAAGAACTGCAGATGCTGGAAATCTGAGTTTCTCCAGCAACTTCTGTTTTTGTATTAGTAATGCAATTCTGGATTGTTGAGGTGGGCAAAGGGCACATAGAACATAGAGTCTGTACTGTTCTTTGGCCCACGATGTTGTGCCGACCTATTATCCCACTAAGATCAATCTACCCTGCATACCCTACATTTTACTATCCTCCATGTGCCTATCCAAGAGTTGCTTAACAGTCTCTAAAGTATCTGACTCCACTACCACTGCCGGCAGCGCATTCCACACACCCACCACACTGTGTGTGAAGAACCTACCTCTGACTTCTCCCCTATACCTTCCTCCAATCTGGAGGAATGTTGGAGAAAAACGAAAGTGACAATAGAAGAGCTACCAGGTCACCTTCGGCCCAAGGCTGCTGAAAGAATATTTTGTTCAGCCACTTGTAACATTGAGTACTTCAAGTGGCCAATAGGAGCCTGGTGTTGGCCAGATGAAACAGGAATCATGTTTGCGCTGCTTTGCACTACAAGTTGCTCAGCCCGATATATAACGAGGGTACAAATCAGACTGGCTGCAAATACTGTATTACTGTTAAATATACTCTGTGTTCAATGAAGTTAGTCTGAATTACTCACAGGTCTTTCCATTACAGCATAATACCACATCATTCACCCAATCTGTATGGTGCTCCATGGAGGCAATATAAGGATCTTGCTGAAACATAAAAAGAAAAATGATGAGATGGAAACACAAGTGGCAGCACAACCTCAAAGTTAGATCACAATTTGTCTAGAGTGAAGGCCCTCAGGAACAGCACTCTTATGCTGTCTGGGTTTAATGTTACACATTGAGTGAAATTCACTTATGTTGCAAGAAGTAAAATGAACTTGGGTCTAGACAACAGAACCACAATTCAAAAATCTTGTCAGGGTTTCCTTCAGTGTTTTGGAAACTTTTTAAAAATGTCTAACAGTATAACACTACAACTCAAGAAAGAAGGGAGAGAGAAAATAGGGAACTAAAGGTGAGTTAGTCTGACAGTTGTCAGGAGATTTCTGAAACTTATCAAGGAAGCCATAACAATGCACACAGAAAAATCATTGTATGATCAAAGTCACCTTAGTTTTACAAAATGGGAATGGCGTTTGACAGATTTAGAGATTTTTTTGGAGCGTGTAGCACAAAACAAAGAGGAACTACCAGTTGGAGTATGCTTGCATTCTCAAAAAGCCATTTAACAAGATGCAATACAAAAAGATGAAAGCACAAGATATGCAGTTGAGGGTGTTAATACGGATACAGGATTAGTTAACTAACAAAAAGAATAGGGATAAATGGAGCATTTTCAAGTTGGCAAGCTGCAACTAGTGGATGCAAATATCGGTGCCAGGGCTTCAGCTATTAATGACGTAGAAGAAAAGATTTAATAAAGTAATCAAGTTTATGAATGGGATTGCTAACTGTGAGGACACAAACAGCTTGCAATGAGACAGTCAAGAGGTAAGTGGTGATAGAATATAATGCGGGAAGTGTGAGGGCACTCATTTTGGTCATGGGAATAGAAAAGCAGAATTTTTCTTTCAAAAAAGGCATGAAACTTGCAAACGTTGATGCTCAAAATGATTTGGGCATACTTCTACATGGAACATTATGTTAGCATTAGCACATGGACTGCAGCGGCTCAAGAAGACAGCTTACCAACACCTTCTCAAGGGCAACTAGGGACAGACAATAAATGCTGGCCCAGCTAGCAATGGCTACATCCCAAGAGTTAATTAAAAAAAAGTTTCAGCAAGCAATGTGGAGGGCAAATGGCATTTGGCCTTTATTGCTAGAGGATTTACAAAACCATAGGAAGGGATAACATTTAAAAATGATAAAATTCTCAGCAACTTGTGAAACCCCATCCTGCGATTCTTCCTGTTTTTAAAAAAAAAATCTGCAGCAAACCAGCAGAGTAAACATCACTTAACCAGCAACTAACATCAAGCTAAAGGTACTTTTACATTAATTAATTTAACTCAAAATATCCCATAAGACGTTTACATTATATCAACCTCTGCTAGATCAAGGTACTCCCATCTTCCAGCAATCTTCCTTCTCCCTGCCACACTAGGGTGAATCATACATGTCCTTTCATAATTGTTCCACTCACTGTTCCAGCACTGCCCTTCACTAGCAAGCTCCAGCTCAGTGATTCAGTGCCCTTTATATCTCAAAAAGTCCTGTCGGCCCCATTCCCTTCCTTTAGAAAGCAGTAACCAACTTTTCAAACAAACACTAACTAGTTTTTACACAGGATAGTGCACTCTCATTATAACAGTAATTTCTTTATCTCCTAGTGTTTCACAAAGCACCTATCCTAGGTGAAAAACCCATGACTTGACTTTCAATAGGTTTTGGTTACAGATCACATAGGCCTGTATCTAGGCACAGATCATCATCCCCTTAATTAACAGTTTTCTATTTCACCTTTCCTAAAGGAAACTTTTTTTGAAATACAACCATTTTGTCAAGATCACATTTGCAAAAAAAATTGAAGTGCCAGAAGCCTTTTCACAATTATAGAGATTTTGGGTGAGTCTAGACTCAGTTTTTGTCGCTATACCCAAGGAAGGACATATTTAGCATGGAAACAGTACACTGAAGTTCACTAGAATGGTTATCAGGATGGGAGGTTGTCATATGATCAGAAGACAAATTGGTGATTCCTATAATGCCTAGAGTATAAAAAGAATGAGAGGTGATTATTAAACAGTCATGACAGCTCATGGCAGTGGATATGCTGATCATCACGAAGGTTGCCGCCACTGCCCTTTTAAGTATAGAGAACTACAGGAGCTGCTTTGTCTATCATGGTCAAGGAAAACCATCCCCTGGGGAGGCGATGGCCTAGTGGCATTAATAGCTCAACTATTTAATCTAGAGACCAAGGTAGTGTTGAGGACCCAAGGCAGATGGAGGAGTTTGAACACGAAAAAAAAAAAAAAAAAAAAATCTATCTGGTTCACTAATCTCCTTTAAGGAAGGAAATCGCCTCTGGAGCCTACAGTCCGATGGCCTAAACGGGGATTTCACCAGTTTTAAAATCTCCTCACCACCCCCCCCCCCCCACAGTATCACACTACCCTATATCAGAAACACGTCGGAACTCACCACAAGACTCCTACAACCACTGGGCATCAGAGTGGCACACAAGCCCACGTCAACCCTATGACAACTGCTCACCCGAACCAAGGACCCACTCCCCGCCATGGACAGGACCAATGTCATCTACAAGATCCCCTGCAGAGACTGTGAGAAACACTATATCGGACAAACAGGAAGGAAACTAAGGGTACACAAACACCAAGTGGCTACAAAATGGCTCGACCAATACTCACTCATCTCAATCCACATGGACAAGGAGAACCACCACTTCGACTGGGACAACACCAAGATCCTGGGACAGGCTAGGCAGAGACAGGCACGAGAATTCCTAGAAGCATGGCACTCCACGAAGCATGCTATTAATAAACACATTGAACTCGACCCCATATACATTCCACTACAAAGGAAACCCGGAAGTCAGTCAATCCATCTCAACGGGCCCTACTATTTAAAAACCAGACGGGAAAACACACCAACGCTTCATTGGAGGCTGCGCTAAGGAGATTACCAAGCATGGTAACGAAACGTCTGCGAAACAAGAAACCAGCTCGGCAAGCCAACCAACTTCAACAACCTCAACACCCACTACCCGAGCTACAAATCTACTCCAAAAACCTTACAGGTCAATCATACTAAATCATTACAAATCTCAGATTAGGCCTCAGCTAAATACAGTATGAAGTTCGGGTACCACACTTTAGGAAGGAGGTGAAAGTCTTTGAGAGGTTATTTTGAAGATTTAACAGAAATAAAGGTAATATAGGACATACTGTGGATAGGAAACTTCACTAATGTAGAGAGATTGGAGAAGCTGAATTGTTCTTAGAACAAAGGATCTGGGAGAAGAGAGGAAGAAATTCTAAATTATAGGGGTTTTGATAGAGCAATTGGGGTGAAATTCTCTCTCGGACAAATGGGTCAGTTCCCAGAAGCTGTCCAGAGAAGGGCAAGGTAAAGGAGGAGACTCTTCCATACACGAAAGGCAAGTGGAAGCATATACTCATACACTCAAACTTCAACTGAACCTCTTTGGAGGATGACAATATGTAGGGTAATGGGGAAAAAGCTCCCCCATACTTTTAAAGAAGTGACACAGACAGAGCAGGTGGAATTACCACCTTCTGTCTTGCAAAATTCAATGATCAAATTCTTCAGTTACTTCATTAATACTTGTATCAGACTGGCAGCACAGAGATCATGTGCAGGTTGGCAAGGGATACACGAGTTCTTGAGGCAATGTGGATTGATGATTGACATTAATAAATTTCTATATTTGTCAGCACTTATTCCTCAATATCTCTTGATATTTCAAACTTTATTCTCAATAACAGGGTTCTGTAGCATGGAACAAACTGTGCTGAGGGGGTGGAGGAGGAAGAGAAAAAGCATTTATTTTTAGAAAGATCAATTGTGCTCTTCGCAATTTAAGTGCAGACATTTGAGTGATTTATTCAAGTGAACAGCACTGGTCATTTATAATAAATAGGAACCCAATTTCTATTCTGTTATTCACAATTTAAAGAAGTGACAGTTTTGCTTGAATATTTGCAGAATCTGATACAACTTCAAGTGGAGATGTGTATTCACTAACTTTAAAATTTAGGTAAGGGAGGGTGGGTGAGACAGAGGGCAAGTGCCTAAATGGGGTACAAGAATAGGTAGATCTGTGGCTATATATAAACAAATCATAAAAAAGTAGCAATGCACATTAACAAGGGCATTAAAACACACACCATAGTGGGATTTAATTTCTACAGAAGTGCTGAAAATTTAGTTTGTAGGAATCGTATTAGATTCCAAAAAGGACATGACATGAAAAGAATGATTCACTGGAATGATACCATAACAGAGGCATAACTATCAGGAAAGACTGAACAGGCCACGGGAATTTTCTGTTTAAAACAGGATTAAAGAATGTACAATAGAGATCTTTAGGATTATTAGGGAGTTTGATCAGGTAGACAGAGATATTTCCATTGGCAGGAGTCCAGAATTATGGACCATAATAGTCACTAATAAATTCAGGAAGGAACTCCGAGTAATATCCTTAACGAGAGGAAAGTTGGAAGTGGAGCTCACTATGCTAAAAACATAAGGGGAAGCTAGATAAGCACAAGGGGAGACAAATTCACAAGGAAATGTTGATGCAATTTGATGAAGGTGGTTTGTGTGAAGTCTAAACACCAGTTTCAGCTCAAGTGGCATTAATTACAATGGCCAAGCTGTGCTATTAGACCATGTTATTAGCATCATTTAATAGGTAACACTGAATACAGACCCTGGCAATACCATGTAGACATGTTGGGCAGGCAGAAATTACAGTAGAAAGATTATGCATGTGGGACATTATTTCATGTCAGATTGATTTGATTTAATTTGTTGTCACATGCACCGAGATAGTGAAAAATTTTGTGCTATACAAAGTGCATCAGGGTAGGAAACAAAAAAAGAGTGCAGAATACAGTGTTACAGCTGCTGAGAAGGTAGAGAGAGAGAGAGAGAGAGAGAGAGAGAGAGAGAGAGAGAGAGAGATCAGAATTAACATTTGAGAAGGCTATTCAAAAATCTGATAATAGCAGGGAAGAAGCGGTTCATGAATCTGTCTGCACGTGTATTCCAACTTCTATATTTTCTGCCAACGAAAGACGGTGGAAGAAAGAGCATAACGGGTGGGAATGGTCTTTGATTATGTTGGTTGCTTTCCAGAGGCGGTGGGAAGTATAAATGGAGTCAATAGATGGAAGGCTGGTTTGCGTGATGGACTGGGTTGTGCTCATGATTCTGGAGTTTCTTGCGGTCTTGAGAGGAGCAGTTGCCATACCACACTGAGATGCATCCAGATAGAACGCTTTCTATGGTGCACCTATAAAAATTGGTAACAGTCTTTACAGACATGCCAAATTTCCTTAGCTACCTGAGGTGTTTTTGAGCTTTCCTGACCATCGCATCAATGTGGGTAGACCAGGACAGGTTGTTGGTGATCATCACTTCCAGAAACTTGACTGTCCTCAACCATCTCCATGTCAGTACACTGTTGCAGACAGGGCATGCACTCCACTCTGCTTCCTGAAATCAATGACCAGCTCCTTCATTTTGCTGACATTAGCGGAGAGATTGCTGTCTTTACACCGTGCCACTAAGTACTCAATCTCTTTCCTGCATTCTGTCTCATCGCTGTTCAAGATCTGACCTACAACGATGGTGTCATCAGCAAACTTGTAAATGGAGTTGGGGCGGAGTACAGTAGGGTGCTGAGTATGTATCCATGTTGAGGCCTGTGGTGGAGGTGGTGTTATCACCTATTCTCACTGATTGTGATCTATGGGTCAAGAGGATCCAGTTACAGAAGGGGTAGCCGAGACCCAAGTCTCGGAGTTTGGAGATGTATTTCTTTGTAATTATGGCATTAAAAAGCAGAGCTGGAGTTAATAAGTAGGAACTTGATGTAGGTATCCAGATTTTCCAGTGATGAGTGTAGGGTCACGGAGATGGCTTCTGCCATGGACCTGTTGTGCAAATCGCAAAGGATCAATGCATTCTGGTAGGCTTGCCACAAATGATTGACGCCGACGTGACTGATCTGGGTTTCAAGTTTAGTTTGGTATTGCCTCTTGGTGTCTCTGATGACATTACGAAGGTTTACCTGGATTTCCTGTTCAGGCTGTGGTTGCCCAACTGAATGCCTCAGACCTGGACTCCAGTAAGGAGTGAATCTCCCAGTTCATCCATGGTTTCCCATTGGGGAACATTCAGATTAACTTCTTTGACATACAGTCTTTTACATACTTGCTATGATCTGTAACAGTAGTGGCATACTCATTTAGGTCGGGTGCTGACTTCTTGAATATGGACCAGTCCACCAATTCCAAACAGTCCCGTAGAAGCTCTTCCGCTGCCTCAGACTAGCACTGGGTCCTCACATTTCAATTTCTGCTGCTAAGCCAGGAGGAGGAAGACAGCGTTGTGATTTGTTTTGATTTTCCAAAGTGCGGACAGGGTATAGTTTGAGTTATAGGGAGAGGTTGAATAGGCTGGGGCTTTATTCTCCCTACAGTGTGTTGGAGGCGATGGATGACCTAATGAGGTTAACAAAATCAAGAGGGGCATGGATAGGATGAATAGTCAAGGTCTTTTTCCTAGGGTGGAGGAGTCCAAAACTAGATGGCATAGGTTTAAGGGGAAGGGGAAAGATTTTAAAAAGGACCTGAGGAGTAACTTTCTTATGAAGAGAGTGGTGCATATATGGAATGAGCTGCCAGAGAAAGTGGAGGAGGCAGGTACAATGACAACATTTAAAAGGCATCTGGACGGGCACATGAATAGGAAGGGTTTAGAGGGATATGGACCAAATGCAGGCAAATGGGACTAGGCCAGATTGGGATGTCTGGTCGGTGCATGAGTTGGACCAAAGCATTTGTTTCTGTGTTGTATGACTAATGTCTTAAATCCAATAAAACACCTCAAAACTAGAAATAAATGAACCATCTAACAGATTGTCAGACAAAAGGTTGGACCTGAATGATTAACTTCTTTTTTTCCTCTCCACATATGCTGTCAGCTGGAATATCTCTAAGCTTTTTCTGTTTTCACTTCAGATTTCCAGCATCTTCAGTAGCTTATTTTAGGTTTTATCCTCAATGGTTTCCCTCTTCTATTAGCTCAGAAAAGACCAGATTTATTAAATTCAATTTCAACGTGGAACACCTATGGTTTGTTTATACAGGACAACAATCGCCACATTACAGTCTTCACCAACATCCTTACATTTATTTTGCTTAAACAACCTTAATTGTTTAATACTATTGGAAAGATGCAACTGTTCCTAATTATGACCGATCGATGAATTTTCCACAATCCCATAAACTCCAGAATTATTTAGATGTGCACTGGTGATGCCATTGCATACAAGACTATGGGCAAAGTGCTGGAAATTGGGATTAGAATAGTTAGGTGCTTGGTTTTGACGGGTACAGACTTGACAGACAAAGACTTTTTTCTGTACTAAAGATTTCTATGACTATAAGCCTCATTGGCCCACTCTGTTTCTATGTTCCTATCAGTCTATCAAGTCTGTCTGACAAATAATTTGATCATGGCTAATTCTCCAGCACAATACTATTTTTCCCACACCATCTCCCAAATCAAATTAATATAGATTAACAGATTGTACTTCAATTTCAGACTATTTCATGAAAAATATTTTCAGGCACTTTGCATCCTGGTATGAACTCCATTTACTCGAAGTACATTTTGCATTGATGGATCCTTAACATTCTCCTTCTGTCAATTCTAGAGTAAATATTGAGATTGCACATTTTAATACATCTAACTGTGTACAGAGTCAAAGACACTATCAAATTTCTCACCTTGTGTTGGTTGATACTCCATATCCGGATAATTGAATCGCGACCAGCCGTAAACAGTCTGTTTAACGAGGGATCTAGTTGAAGTGCGTTAACGCCATTACGATTATACTTCTCTACTTCATCTCGAATCACATAAGACACCTGAAGTCAATAAGAGTCTGCCATTAATAAGTTTACTACACAAGAGTCATATTTCAACATAATAAAACAAACAAAGCTGTCATCCCGGCTGAATTGCGTAGTGAGTACTGACAGGAACAAATAACGTTCATGCAGGGAATTAAAATTGCAGCAGCACCTTTTCATACTTTCTTCACATGCAAGCTAAAACAACATCCTCCCCATTTTGATAATTTATTCAGCGACATTAAATATTTAAAGTCAGCCTAGTCCCTTTATGCCTGGTGTCATCGAACCAAATCAGGCACTAGAACTATAGTTTAAGAGGAGCAAATATGATACTTTTATATAACACATACATACATGCCCACTATATTTTACGTAGAAGAACTTACAAGAACCTCTTTAGGTCTGAAAAGCAGGACAAAAAACTTTGAGAAAACTTTCCAAAATGCTAGCTTGCAAGTGAAGGAATATGACTGACAATTCTTCACTACACTACTCTCATAAATCTTAACTTACAATTAGATAATATTAACTTTTCCAACCTACTTTACCACAACTTTGCACGTAAAATAGGCTATTAGTATCTGAGTGATACTTTAGTTCTGGCAACTACAAAAATGGGCATACCTTGTAAACAGTTGCTGTGCCTGTTTAAAAAAAAAGTATTTTTAGACAGGCAAGACAAAGGTCTTCTTGAAAATAAAATACTTCAGCTATAATAGCAATCTAAGAAGATTGATGTTAGAGAATGGAACTTGTTCCAGGCAACATGAATGGCACTTACTTTAGGCTACATCATCAGCGCTGTACTTCTGTTTAAATATCATCAGTTTGTTTAAACTTCCATAGATGTAGGACAGACCACGATAGGTTGCAAAACCCATGTTGAGCAAAAAATGTTTGATAATAGATTACAGGTCATAGTAGTAAACAAACGCTTACATCATCACAGTGAAATTAACTTGAAAGGAAAGATATTTTGTGCCCACCTAGATTCTCAAATAGTGCCTTGCATCAAAAGGTAGAGAGCTTACTTTTATTCTGAGAACTTAAAGCATACTTTGCAGGCTGCAATGCAGCGAGAGGTGCTATATGTGTGAGTGCAATACTCTTCCCTTTCAAACCAGCATTTCACGAGTGACTCCAGTGGTAATGTTGGTCCATTAATTGAAACGTCATTGCTGGATGTGGAAAACAGCCAGATTCCTATTCATTAACAGATTCAGCAGCTTAATCCATCCACACGGGCAGGTACCAGTCCACCTTTTGACTAGTTCTGGGTAACTGGTGTGTGACCGGAACAGAAACTTGAGCATTTGCCCATAAAATCAGGCAAGTGCATTATCAGCTCGATAGCTGCATACAGAGTGGCCTCATGAAGATTCAATACTGTTACTCCCAACATTTGATCAAAGTAGTTAAGCAACCATGTGCAAGGAAAATGAATCAATTCAGAGTCAGTTCAGGAATGGGATTTGTAGCTTTCATTCCTGTATTGAATTGTTTAGCAATTTTCTTTCAGAAAATGATTGTATTTAGATTGAGAGAGATAGTAGGAACTGCCAATGCTGGAGAATCTGAGATAATAAAGGGTAGAGTTGGATGAACACAGCAGGCCAAGCAGCAGAGGAGCAGGAAAGCTGACGTTTCAGGTCTATTTCTGAAGAAGGGTCCAGACCCGAAATGTCAGCTTTCCTGCTCGGCCTGCTGTGTTCATCCAGCACTACACCTTGTTATCTTGTATTTAGATTGTGCAGTGTCCAGTTCATTTCCTGTTCATGTCTACATAAAAAGATCAGAATTTGGAACAGACATGGGAGTAACTGAACTTGAAACTGACTTGGGAATTTTATTACTAAACACTGCAATATTGTTTTACAACTGCTAAAATGTACCATCTTAAAAAATGCACCTTTATTTTCTTGCTATTTTTTTTTGTTTTTGTTTCCTGAATGACAGTTGTACTACATTTCAAAAGAATTAAGATTCATTTCCTTCATGTCTAAAAGTAGAGATGTACATAAAATGATTCTTTGCTCAAATGCTGAGCCACAGGACAGCCAGCACTTTCACCAACCACTATGATTCAACAAATGGACATTCTGCTGTAACCTGTCAAGCTTCAGTTTACAGCAGAGATTCAAAACATAACTTGTTACATGAAGACAGAGACAACTAGCTGTAGAGCTGGATGAACACAGCAGGCCAAGCGGCATCAGAGGAGCAGGAATGCTGACGTTGCGGGTGTAGACCCTTCTTCAGAAGATCACTTTCAGGCCTCACAAAGGCTTTAAAGCCGTGTAGCTTGAAGTATTAAGTTTTATTAACAAATCAGTCAAATAATAGAGGCAAAGATGGATATGAACAAATTATAATCCATTTTCTAATAGAAGAGGCTGAAATTATCTGCTACTAATAAATGCAAGTTTCACATTTAATTTTATATGTTGCTGTCAACAACAATAAAAAGCATTAAGTTAATTACTCTCATAACTGTCAAACTAAATTAGTGCAATTAACTTTTTATAAAGTAGAAATCAATCCACATTTACCCAATAAAGCATCAGCCTGATTATGTTTTGCATAAATAATTTAATTGAAAATATATTTCTAAAAGCAAAAAAAAACAACCATCTTCACATCTTCACTTAGGAACCTCAGCAAGATAGATACCAGTCCTCAAACAATTCAGTTCACTCTCCACGATATCAGAACAGTTGAAGAGACCAATATTGCAACATTCCAATAATAATGCTGAAGATTTGTGCTCCAGATTTAGCTGTTCTAATAGGGGTACCCAACAATGTGAAAAATTGCCTAGATATGCCCTAAACCTAATGTAGAAAGTGCAGGACAAATCCAAACCCGTCAATTACTGCCCTTTCAGTCTACACTCAAGTGGAAGTGATGGAAGGAGTCATCAACAATGTTATCACGCATCACTCACAAAGGAATACCAGCGCAATGACATTCAGTTTGGGTTTGACCAGGGCCACATGGCCCCTGACCTCATTACAGTCTTGGCCCAATAATGGGCAAAACAGTAGAATTCGAGGTGACTGCCCTTAACTTCAAGGCAACATTGAACAGGGTATGGCATTAAGGAGTCCTAGCAAAACTAAAGTCAATGAGAGTTCAGGGTAAAACTCTTTTCTGATTGGAAACATACCAAGTAGAAAAGGTGATTTTTGCAGTAGCTAGATGTCAACAGCAACAGGTGCATGGGAATATTAACACATGCAAGTTCCTCTCCAAGCCACACAGCATCCTGATTTGGAATATATCACCATTCCTTCAGAATTATTAGGTCAAAATCCTGGAACTCCCATCTAAATAGTACTGAAGGTGTCCCTACATCCCAGGAATTGCAGCAGTTCAAGAGACAGCTTACCAATACCTTCTCCAGAGCAATAATGGATGGGCAATGAACACTGTCCTTGACCTGAGTTTTTATGGTGCAGTGGCTGTATCGCTACCCCTGAGCCAGGAGACCTTCAAGTTGTCCCACCTGCTCCATTGATGTTTCATACCATAGCTGAGCAGGTTGATGTATAAAAGAAGTTGGCCTAGCCAACAATGTCCACGTGAACAAATAAAAACACAAGTTAATGAAACAGTTAGTGAAAAAGACCTCCCAAACTGTAAGAAGAGCACAGAAATCATGTTGTCTGTGTTTTAAACATTAAACAAAGTGGGATAAGAGAGGTTAATTTGGGTTGGGTCACAATTTGATGCAGCTAGACTGCTAATGGTATTAGGCATTAGACTTGCAAATTTAGGTTTCAAAACTTGCGTGGCAAGGTTTTAAAAATTCATCTTGGAATGCGAACATGCTGACAAGACCAATATTTATTCCCCATTCCTAATCACCCTGGAGAGAAGTGGTGAGCCATTTTCTGGAACTGCTGTGATCCGTGCGATGTGAATATTCCCCTCTTAGGGAATGATGTTAGGAAGGGAGTTCCAGGATTTTGACAGAGTAGCAGTGAAAGAACGTCAGTTCAGAATGTGAGCTTAGAAGGAAAGTGCAGGTGGTGGTACTTCATTTCATTTACAGCCCTCATCTTTCCCTGGTTCACAAATTGATTCCTGGAATGAGACAGTGGCAGGTTTGGAAGGTGCTGTTGAAGGAAGCATTGGCAAGTCGTTGCTGTGCATCTTGGACATAGTATATACTGCTGTCAGTGTATGCCTGTGGTGGAGGAAGAGAATGTTGTAACTGGTTCTGGTCAAGACAGCTGCTTAGCACTGGATGGTATCAAGCTTCTTGAGTACAGCAGCTGCACTCATCCAGGCAAGTGGACAGTATTCAATTACCCTGCTGTCTTGTGCCTTGTAAACAGTGGACAGGTTTTCATGCGTTAAGAGGTAGGTTTCATCACAGAATTCCAAGCCTCTGACCTAAAGTCATAATGTTTTATGCCTGGTCCAGTTTAATTTCTGATCAATGATAAAGCCCCCAGCTTCATGCTGTTGACAGCAGGAAATGCAATGACGGCAATACCACTAGGCTGCGAACACTCAATCATACAATAACAAAAATAGACAAACAACAGATAACGGTATTCAGGACATTAAAAAGGAGCATACTCGCAAATTTGTTATATTCAATTTACAGGCTTGCATTAGGTCAAACTTCTAAATTTTCAAGTGCTGTACATGTGGTGATGATAACCAGTTCTGAAATTGGATAGATGCTCAGGAATTTTCAGAACAAAAAAAAGGACAGTATAATTCAACTATTTGAGCCTGCTGCATCTTTCAAGTTGATCATGGCCGACCTTGGTCTTCAAATCCATTTTCCCGACTTCTTCCAGAGACACTAAAATTTGACTATCCCAAAATTAAATGTATTCGATGATGGCACATCCACAATCCTATGTGGCAGAGAATTCCAAAGATTTCAAGATAGGATTTTCCCCTCATCTCATTTAAATCCTTATCCTGAAATGGCGTGCCTCTCTGTTTTGGATTCCCCAACCAAGGGAATCAACATCTCAGTAGATCCCAGTGAA